GGGATCTGCCTCGTGCAGTACCTCCCACTGCTCTACGGTTGTGATGGGAACTGCTGAACCATGCGGTGTGGCCACGATGTCCTGGTAGTGATGGGCTGCGGCGGCTCTCGGTGGTGGTGGTGGACCGGGTCGGATCCAGGTGGAACGGTCCCGCAGCTGGGGGCATTCCCTTTTATAATGTCCCCACTTCTGGCAGTGGTGGCAAGGGCCCGACGTGGGCTGGCGGAAACGTGGCTGTGTAGCGGGTGGTGGTGGTGGTGGCAGTGACCTTGGTAGAGCTGGCGTGTAGTTATTTCCCCCAAAGGTTTTAAAAGGTACTTTTGGAGCTGCAGGTTTTTGCTGCCTGCGTGCATCCAGGTACTCATCTGCCTTCCTGGCTGCTTCGGTAAGGGAGGTAGGGTTTCTGTCTCTTACCCACTCCTGTACCTCGCTGGTTACTCCTTCATAAAATTGCTCCAGCAGTACCATTTGCAATACATCCTCCATAGACCGTGCCTTGCTCGCTTGCACCCACCCTAAGACTGCTCGTTGTAGTCTGCATGCCCACTCAGCATGTGAGTCTTTCTCCACCTTCTTTAAATCCCTGAATCTCCGCCGGTATGCTTCTGGTGTTATAGCATACCTGGCCAATATAATTTCTTTCACTTTGTGATAATTCCGAATTTCATCATTCGGTACAGTCCGGTATGCCTCAACTGCCCTCCCAGTTAACCTTCCTGCCAAAATAGGTACCCAGTCCTCTGCGCTGATTCTATGCAGTGCACACAGTCTCTCGAAATCTTGCAGGAAAGCATCTATATCTTCCTCTGCCTCCACATATGTTTTAAAAGCCTGGTACGGTATTTTCGGCTTACCTTCATGTGGCATATTTACTGCAGAGCTGCGTTCTGGGGCCGCTGTTTGACTCCTCAGTATAAATTCCTGGACCTCCGTTATCGTTTTGGAAACAATCTCTGTTGGAGGGTGTTCCCCATAGAAAGACAGTCGAAATTGTACCTGCCTCTGGAACTCCCTTTGTTCCGGTGTTTCTCCCGAATTCCCCTGTTCGGGAACCGAATCGCCTTCCATTCGGTACTCCGCCATCAGTTCAGTGATAAGTACCGCTTTTGTCTTATTGCCGGCTTGTATACCCTTTGCCTCCAGAAGGTCTTTTAGCGTGGAGCGTTTTAGTGTGGCAAAATCAATCTCCATCCGTACTCCATTTAGGCTTGTTCCTCTGTGAGTCTGGATCCCAGCGCTGCCAACCAATGTAGCGGAGATGCAATAGTATCCAGGTTATCTCCGCTTATAATCCAAGTGGGACTCAGGAACAAGTAAATAGTAAATCCACAGGCAGGGCTTCCAGCAGGTAAAATACAGCAATATCCCAACAGCAATCCCAATAACTGGACGACACACAGTTTCAGGAGCATAACTGACAAGCCTTTAATCACAGTCTCTTTATAAAGCATGCTCCCATGCAAGGGAGGAACTTACAGTAATTATTACAGTAGCCAATCCTGTCCTGGTAACCTCCCACACATCCCCTCCCCTCAGCCAGCATCATAATCCCCTTATCCAGCACACCAATTCCCCCCGTTTCAGGATGTACCCCTAAACGTAGGGGTACCCCTTTAAATCATACATCCCCGGGTAGCCCTGATCTGGGTGACCAACATATCCAAAAATCACCCAGATCGGACCAGGGGTTCGGGAAAAGTATGGAGGGAATAAAATGACCGACCGCACGAACAGAGATAGCCGAATTCGGTTCCATGTGAATGGGCCTTGCGGTCGGTCCTGGCATAAGGGAATAAATACACGAAAGCCTCTAGCTATAGAGGCTAGGGAGGGTTCGCCTGAATCCCCTCGTTCGGTATTCTCTATTTACCGAACGAGGGGCCGTTCGGTAGTTTGGAACCGAACGGACCAGGGCTGTGGAGGTCTCAGCGGTGTTCGCCTACTCGAGTGTCCGATTTTAGTTCCAGACACTCGACGGCAAAACACCGCTGTTCGGGAGTTTTAAAATGGCCGCCGCCACGTGTTCGTTTGTCGAATGGCGGCCACCCCCGAGAACAAAGGACGGCTACTTACTGTTCAATTACCCGTTCGCAACAATGTTGCAACGGGTAATTGAGGACACACTTCACACAGGGAGGTCTGGTTGTTCGGTAGTTTCATTCGAATAAACTAAGGGAATGAAACTACCGAACAATCAGAGGAATACAATTCTTTTTCAATACACAGAAAATACAGCAGATACACGGATGCAGCTTTATACAGTATTTTTGTAGGGTCGCCTGGTGCCATCCGCTACAAAGATGTTAACACATAGATATCTATTGTATCTTCCTGTAACAGGTAGATTGATATGACACAGGAAAACTTGTGACGTAAGACTAAATTCTAACAAAAAAAGGGTTATTAATTGTTCTTCAATACATTTTTTGATGAGAGCCAGTCTCGGCATTCCCACCTGATGTGAATTTTTGTGCCTGGATAGTTTTCGCAACGCCAACAAAAGTTATCTAAATTTATATCAAACTTTGCTAGGCGTGTAGGAACCGTATACCATCTCTGTGTTAACAAAGTATTGTTCATATAAAACTAATACAGTGCATGGCAGTTCTCATGCTTCACCAGGCATTGTTCCAAATCTCTAGAGAAACCGTAAAATCACATTCTCTCTCCCATCTAGAAACCGCTTTTGATTTATTTAAGACAATTCTCTTATTTAGAGTTTTGCCAACTCTGGCAATTGTTTTGATGTTGAGTTGTGTAGTATGAAGTGTGTCTGTTAATCCTGAATGACTTGTTAATTCAGAAGTAAGTAAAATGTTTAATCCGAATATATTTAAATATTTTTCGTGATGGAAGAGCATACCTTTCCTGTAAGTTGGAAAAAGATCTTAAAGATTCTCTATCATAAAGATCTGAAATTATTTTAATATCATAATTTTGCCATTGTAAAATATCTAAATCTTCTATATACAGGGGAAGAGACAAAATAGGAATAGTTCTAGTAAAAAAAATTGAGGTTTGTCCCTTTTCAATTCTCTTTCTGAATATTAAAAACCATGTCATCAGAACAGATACTATTGGATTCGATATTTTAAGTTCTCTATTCATAGTCCATCCAGAGAGAATAATAGGGATCAATCCCTCCACTTTTGCTCTTTTCTATATTATACCATCCCAAATCTTAATTTCTTTTAATGTTTAACATAGGTAAATGGGAGAGCATACATGTTTGATGAATTTTATGTAGATCTGGATATCCCAGTCCTCCTGAATTTATGTTTCTCTTAAGAACATCACCAGGTACTCTTGGTTTTTTTAGCATTCCACACATATGAAGAACAAAGACTTTACATTTATTTTATTATGTTAAATAACTGGGATTGGAATAGTTTTATACAAATATATTATTTTTGGGACCAGGTATGATTTAAGTATGTTTACTCATCCAAGCCAAGAGATTTCTAAACCCCTCCACCAATCTACTGTCTCCTTAAGATCTATCAACAAGTCCATGTAGTTTTTATACATCGTGGACTTTGAATCTGAGCAAAGTTTAATTCCTAAATATTGTATTTCTTTATTAGACCAGTTTAATGTTTCATATCTTTCTCTTAAAGATAGATACGTGAAATTAGAAATATAAAAAGCCCTAATTTGAGTTTTTGAAAAGTTAAGTTTATAATTTGAAAATTATTATTATTATTGCAATTTATATAGCACCAACAGATTCCGTAGCGTTTTACAATATTATGAGAGGGGGATTTAATTGTAAATAGGACAATTACAAAAAAACATACGGGAACAATAGGTTGAAGAGGACCCTGCTCAATCGAGCTTACATTCTATAGGATATAGAATAGACTAAATGACTGTAATATCCTAACAACGTCTGGAAAAGAGCATTCTGGGAAGATATCGTTAAAAGAATATCATCTGCATAAAGGGAAACCAGATGGCCCTGTCGTCCAACCATTATTCATTTAATTGTAACTGTCTTTCTTAATTAGGCCGTCAAGGTTTCCACGGTAAGAACATATAAAAGGGGAGTTAACGGACAACCCTGACGGGTGCCGTTTCGAATCTTCCCATTCAAGGAATTAAAGAAAAGGCCAGTGATCCTTGCGGTGGGAAGCGTGTATAGTGCCATAGTAATTTCATTAAATGGACATGTAAGTCCAAACGCTTGCTGAGTCTGCACCATTAATCTCCAGTTTACCCTGTCGAATGCCTTTTTGGTGCCTAAGGCCATTATAATAGATGGAGTTTTCTTATGGTGGATTTAATCTATTATGTTAATGACTCTGCGGGTGTTATCTTCCCCTGATCTGCTGACTACAAAGCACTCAATCAGAATGTATCAAATCTAAGATGACTAGGTTTAATCTCTGTGCCAAAATTTTAGAATATATGTTTATGCCTATGTTAATTAATGAAATTGGTCTATAATTAGTTACCCTGGTAGGGTCTTTGCCTATTTTTAAAATAGATGAAATAGTGGCTTCAAGTATTCCTTGATGAAATCCATTTGATCCAGCTATGGTACCATACACGCAAGTAATCTTAGGTTGTAAGATATGATAAAAAAGAGAGGAGGGGAGGAGCGATGATGTAGGACGTACGCATGCTTCCAGTGGCTGATCTGAGCGAGCTCGGCGAGACAGACGAGGAAGCAAGCGGAGCTATGCAAAGGGCAGCGTGCTAGCAAGGCAGTTGTACAACAGAAGTCTTCAAAAGTCTAAGCAGTGACAGGCAGACAGAAAAACACCCTAACACCCAAAGAGGGTGTTAATTAAAGGATGCAGCAATAAATAGAGCAAGCTCACAGAGCGTTTGGAGAAAGTGTCTGAATGCTTAGGAACTGAGAGGGAAGCAGGCATCTTCAAAACTCCCCATAAGATGAGTATTATATATATCTGAATACTGCAATACTGCTGGACGCTGCTGGTTATTGTTGGTCTGTGGTCTCTATCACATATATCATTATACTGCTTATACTGAATATTGGCTACAGGGTGTTGGCTAAAACTAATTATACAATTAGGCATAGAAACCATACTGAATATTCTTTTTCTCTTGTGGTGATTGGGGTAAGCAGGTCTTTTAAAATTGCCCTCCAAGAAGAACCCTGAAAACAAAGCTTTAAAAAAAGACAAAAAAGAAATTAAAGATCCGACACAGTTGTCTAATTTTTTTCTCTGCTCAATCTTCTGGGAAAAAAGATGGCGAGCAGGGAACGTAATTTACTCAAGTTGAAGACAGAGAAACAAATGTACCCATGAGCAAAGAGTTTCAAGTAGCATTCTCTGATATATTGGATAAGAGTCAACAGCAACTGTGTGATAAAATGACTTTAGTAATCCAATCCAATGTACAAGAAATCAAAACAGAAATTGCTCTGTTAAACCAAAAAGTGGTGAATATAGAAGAAAAACTAGGGGCAGTGGATTACCTGCAGGGAGAGCTAAAATCTCAATACGAGCAGCTTGCTAAGAAATATAATGTGATGGAACAAAAATTATCCGATCTGGAAGATCGTAGTCGACGGAACAACATACGTTTTAGAGGGATAAGTGAACAAATTTCTGAAGGGAAATTAGAGGAATATTTGCTGAGTTTCTTTGGTGAGCTAGGTCTGGAGATGGAGTCAACTACAAAAGTAATGTACAGATATCATTGTCTCCCTAGGCCCAAGGGGCTACCAGAGACTGTTTCCAGAGACGTAATTGTATGTTTCCATCAATTTTGGTATAAAGATCAAGTACTAATTAAACATAGAACTAACTCAGAAAATAAGGACCAGTACTTGTACTTGAATTTGAAATTATTTCAAGACTTGTCATGGCATACCCGGCAAAGCAGAAGAGCCTTTGGAACTGTTACTAATATCTTAAGAAAAAATCTGATAAGATATAAATGGGGTCACCCAGTTAAATGAATAGTTATGCGGGGGAAAGATATGATTCTGCTTGATGATCCCCAAATGGCAGTATTATGGCTTCAAAAAATGACCTAAAGTAGTAGGCTGATAGAGAGAAGTAAGATGAGGGGAATGAGGAGAGGCGAGGGGGTAAGCTGTCTTGTGTAGCTGTGTTTTTTTTTTTTGTTTTTTTTTTTCTCTCCATAAATTATCACATATGCATTGATTATTAGTTGAATTTTGAGGCGCGGTGGGTCACTATGGAATACAAGTGTATGAATACCCATTACTGTATGATAAATGTTAAAAGATGATGCAATTAGCGTTTGGCAAACACTTAAATTGTGTATAAGTGTAATAAGTAATCAAGTTTTTGTTTGCACCCATATTATTGAATTATAATTAGTAATGCTGGTTAAATAGCACAAATGATTTGGGCACTGATTCACTAAATTGTCATTTTATGACTTACAGAATAAGTAATTGAATTATAGTAATTTAGATTATAATTTTTGAATATGAATACTGACTTGAATTGCGTAGTATCTGGTAGAAATTGATTAATGATTAGTTTTATTATATGGGATAAAGGATAAATGGGGTAAATATTTTCATAGATAATATTAACATATGGATAGGTAATACTATTTACTAATGTAGTATGTCTAACACTGTGACTTGTGAAGTGAGTTGTTTTAGGCGTTTTTTCTCTGGCTGACTCACGATTTTCCAAGGCTTCGACTTTTCGGCTCACCTCCCCCACTTCTGTTGCTTGAGGTCTGCTCCCCATATTTTCCTCATTTCTGTAAGGAGTCTTTTAATGTCCCCTTTTGTGGAGGGTGTCTCATCTTCCTCCCATTCAGTTAGGTAAGATGGTGTTTCCGACCGGGGGGAGGGTATGGAGTCCTCTACGTCCTGCGAGGCCTCAGATGCCGCGGTTGTGTGCGGCGCGAGTCAGGCGCCATTTTTGTGGCCTGTGTGTTTGTCGGCAGCTCGAAGGAGCTTCCAATATCTGGCTGGCGGGGACCGGCCGGTCCTTGAGCTTTCCTTTTTTTTCGCCCCATTGTCTCTATTGGGGGGATGTCCTTTTCTTGGGCTGATTCTCTGTATTTTTTGTCGCTTTATGTTGGGTATATTTCCCCGGCCTGAGTGGAGCTCTGCTCAGAGATGTCCGCTCGGTATCGCTGGTAGCCATGCCCCCCTCCTTTTATTTCGGTAAGCCTATTTTGAAAAATTATTATTATGCAAATATGATTAGCCACATTTATTTGATGCAAATTCCAGCGGCTGCTGATGAATGCTGGTATCATATAGAGAGCTATCAGACTCAGATAAAATATCTCTCTTGTTTATTATGGAATATTCATTACCCGAACTGGAAGGAATTAGAAGAGAATTGTTTTATCATTGGTCATCTTGGAAAGTTTTTGTCTTTTTTAAAGAACAAGATGGGAGGGAATAATAAAATTATAAATAGTATTAGTATTAAAGTTTTGGAAAATAATATCCAAGATCTATCATTAGCTACTTGGAAAAGTCGAGGCATTGATAAGGTTTCAGACTTATATAAAGATGGGATAATGAAAACCTTCCCAAGTTTGAATCTTGAGTATGCTTTACCTCATAAAGAGTTGTTTTCTTATCTTAGGGTAAAGGCTTTCTTACAAAATTCCCTTATGAAATGAGAAGTACAGTTAATGACAATTCTACAAGATATTTTGCAAACACACAATCCCCAAGGTAATGGCTAAATCATATGCTTTAATATCTTGTTTAACATCGGGCTCGAAAAATAAGTATATGAATAAATGGGCTAAGCTTTTGCAGATTAATATATGTGAGAAAGATTGGTTGGCGGCAATAAGGAGATTTAGTCGAGATATAAATTGTATTAATATAGTTGAGAATCAATACAAAGTGATACATTTTTGGTATCTTGACCCACAAAAAATGTCCAAGTTTTCTCATAATAATGTTATTAAATGCTGGAGATGTGATAACGTTGAGGCAGATTATACACAAATGTGGTGGAAATGTGAAGTTGCAGCTAATTTATGGAATATAGCGTTCGAAAAACTCCAGGCCCTGGGGAAATTTAAAATTGATAAAAGAATTGAAATAGCAATTCTACATTTAAATTGGCCGGTTCTACACCCTAGACTAGCCTTAATGACAACCCATTTTTTTTTGTGGCAACAAAACTACTTTTGGCCAGATATTGGAAATTAAATGTATTTGTTAGTTGGCTAATTTAAAAAAATCTAATTATATTCCAGTGTAAAATGGAACAGGGCCTTAAATGGATTAATAAAAAGGCTGATCAGAACAGTAGCTGGATAGTACAATGAATGGATAGACTGACCGATCTTGATTGAATATGTTATTTGATTTAAAAAAAAAAAAAAAGGGAGAGAGAAAAAAAGAAGGGAAAAAAAGCTATAGAAATTAACTCTTTATTATGGGGTATTTCATATTCAAATCTTCTTATGCCAAATAATTTACATGGTTACTAAACCCTTTATCTTCCTTCCTATTGTTAGACATAATTATTTTAATGGATAAATACTATGGTGACTGGTACATTGTAATGTTATGTGTTTTATGTTGTTTGTCATTTTGGACCTTCTTATGATTCTGATTGTATTTGAAGCAAATTTATATAAATTTCATTTGTGAGGTCTATAAATATTAAATGTTTATATGTAAAAGGAAATAATAAAAATTATAAAAAATAAAATAAAAAAAAGATATGATATGATAAAAAAGAGATGTCAAGCCATCAGGACCTGGCGCCTTCCCCCCCTTCATATTGTTGATTATGTTCCTGATTTCTATCTGGGAAAAAGGTTTGTTAAGTATGTTTCTTTTTCCTATGGATAGTACTGGGAGACTTAGAGATCTAGAGAAACTCTCCATTTCCAAGTCAGTTTTTTGGGGTTCGGGTAGATTATGTAGAGTTTCATAATATGTTCTAAAAGCCTCTTGTCAGGAGAGAGACAAGACGGTAATTTTCCATCTTGTGCTATAAAAAGTCCCTATGAACCACCAGGGACATTACGTGGCACTATATCCATGATGGAAGTTAAATGAGTTACATATAAATATTAAAGTCAATCGACTGCTGCAGTATAGTAGGACTACCATGGAGAAGGGAACGAAGAGAGAACAAAATACATTTATTTCAATGTTTATGGATCTCCGTAGAAACTCCCTGCTATTATAGAAACATAGAAACATAGAATGTGACGGCAGATAAGAACCATTCGACCCATCTTGTCGGCCCAATCCTCTAAACACTTTCACTAGTCTCTGGCCCTAGCTAGGATAGCCTTATGCCCACCCATGCATGCTTAAACTCCTTTATTGTGTTAACTTCTACCACTTCAGCTGGAAGGCTATTCCATGCATCCACTACCTTCTCAGTAAATTAATACTTCCTGATATTATTTTTAAACCTTTGTCCATCTAATTTAAGATTATGTCCTCTTGTTGTGGCAGTTTTTCTTCTTTTAAATATAGTCTTCTCCTTTACTGTGTTGATTCCCTTTATGAATTTAAATGTTTCTATCATATCCCCCCATCTCGTCTTTCCTCCAAGCTATACATGTTAAGATCCTTTAACCTTTCCTGGTAAGTTTTATCCCGCAATCCATGAACCAGTTTAGTAGCCCTTCTCTGAACCCTCTCTAAGGTATCAATATCCTTCTGAAGATACGGTCTCCAGTACTGTGTACAATACTCCAAGTGAGGTCTCACCAGTGTTCTGTACAATGGCATGAGCACTTCCCTCTTTCTACTGCTAATACCTCTCCCTATACAACCAAGCATTCTGCTAGCATTTCCTGCTGCTCTGTTACATTGTCTGCCTACCTTCAAGTCATCAGAAATAATCACCCCTAAATCCCTTTCCTCATATGTTGAGGTTAGGACTCTATCAAATATTCTGTACTCTGCCCTTGGGTTTTTACATCCAAGATGCATCTTGCACTTATCCACATTAAATGTCAGTTGCCACAATTCTGACTATTTTTCTAGTTTACCTAAATCATTTGCCATTTGGCTTATCCCTCCTGGAACAACAACCCTGTTATATATCTTAGTATCATCAGCAAAAAGACATACCTTACCATCAAGACCTTCTGCAATATCACTAATAAAAATATTAAAAAGAATGGGTCCAAGTACAGATCCCTGAGGTACCCCACTGGTGACAAGTCCAAGCTTCGAATATATTCCATTAACTACAACCCTCTGTTGCCTGTCACTCAGCCACTGCCTTACCCATTCAACAATATTTGAATCCAAACTTAAAGATTGAAGTTTATTGATAAGCCTTCTATGTGCAACAGTGTCAAAAGCCTTACTGAAATCTAGGTAAGCAATGTCTACTGCACCACCCTGATCTATAATTTTAGTTACCCAATCAAAAAAATCAATAAGATTAGTTTGGCATGATCTCCCTGAAGTAAACCCATGTTGTCTCTGATCTTGAAATCCATGTGTTTTTAGATGTTCATCAATCCTATCCTTTAACATGGTTTCCATCACTTTCCCCACTACTGAAGTAAGGCTTACTGGCCTATAGTTGCCCGACTCCTCCCTATTACCTTTCTTGTAAATGGGCACAACATTCGCTAACTTCCAGTCTTCTGGGACTACTCCTGTTAACAATGATTGGTTAAATAAATCTGTTAATGGTTTTGCTAGTACACCACTAAGCTCTTTTAATAGCTTTGGGTGTATTCCATCAGGTCCCATTGACTTATTTGTCTTTACTTTTGACAGTTGAAATAGAACCTCTTCCTCTGTAAACTCACGTGTAATAAATGACTCATTTATCCTTTTTCTTAACTGAGGTCCCTTTCCTTCATTTTCATCTGTAAATACAGAACAAAAATATTCATTGAGGCAGTCAGCTAGACCTTTATCCTCTTCTACATACCTTCCTTCTTTTGTTTTTAATCTAACTAATCCTTGTTTTACTTTTCTTTTCTCATTTATGTATCTAAAAAATGTTTTGTCCCCCTTTTTTACTGTCTGTGCTATTTTCTCTTCTGTGTGTGATTTGGAAGCTCTTATAACTTGCTTAGCCTCTTTCTGCCTAATCTTATAGATCATTTTGTCTTCCTCACTCTGGTTTTTTTTATAATTACTAAATGCTAACTTTTTGTTTTTAACTATTTTGGCCACATCTGCGGAGTACCACAGTGGTTTCTTGAATTTTTTGCTTTTACTGACAAGCCTAATGCAATTTTCTGTTGCCTTCAATAGTGCAACTTTTAAATAATCCCATTTCTCTTGGACTCCATTTAAATTGCTCCAGTCTGATAATGACTCCTCTACACATATTCTAATTTTAGAAAAGTCTGTTTTTCTAAAGTCTAAGACTTTTGTTTTTGTGTGGTGTGACTCAGTCACTGTTCTTATATTAAACCACACTAACTGATGATCACTGGATCCAAAACTTTCACCTACAGTAATATCTGATACCAAATCTCCATTTGTTAACACTAAATCTAGTATGGCCTCTTTACGAGTTGGCTCCTCGACAACTTGTTTTAGAGACAATCCCAGTAGGGAGTTTAGAATATGTGTGCTCCTGGCAGAAGTAGCTATTTTTGTTTTCCAATTCACATCAGGAAGATTAAAGTCACCCATGATGATAACTTCCCCCTTCATTGTCATTTTAGCTATTTCCTCAACGAGTAGATTATCTAACTCTTCAATTTGTCCTGGGGGCTTATAAATCACACCTACACAAGTTACTGTGTGATTACCAAATTCTAACGTAACCTAAACGGACTCTATGTTCGCCTCACTAACGTTTATTAGGCTAGATTTTATGCTATCCTTTACATACAGGGCTACCCCTCCCCCTTTCTTGCCTTCCCTATCTTTTCTATATAAAGAGTACCCTGGTATTGCTATGTCCCAGTCATTTTTCTCATTGTACCATGTCTCAGTAATAGCGACTAAATCTACACTATCAGTTGCCATTATTGCCACAAGTTCATGGATCTTATTCCCTAAACTGCGAGCATTTGTAAACATGACTCTAAGCTTATCATTTTTTAACACACTTGCTACAGGCACCTTCTGTCCTTGTTTTGGGGGACAATTGGATTGATGTTTTATCACCCTTTCCCCCCCCCCCCTAGTTTAAATACATCCTAGCAAAACCTCTGAACTGCTTACTGAGAACATTTGTTCCCTTTTGAGAAAGATGCAAACCATCTTTTTTGTACAGGTTATTTCCATTCCAAACAGAGCTACCATGAGAAATAAAGCCAAATCCTTGCTCCCGACACCATTCACCAAGCCACAAATTAAAGTCCCTAATACGCATCCGCCTGTCGTTCTGCGTGTTATGCACAGGCAGAACTTCAGAGAATGACAGTGTGGAAGCAACCTGCCGTATATCATTGGCAAAAACACTAAAAACTTCCTTAACCTCTGAAGGAAGCTAACTGCCTAAATTTTAACATCGAGCTAACTGCCTAAATTTGTCATACTACAAAGATTCCAAACTCCATTGTAAACAAGCATCTCTATAGGGCCCTAAATTTGTGTCTTAAGTAAGAGACGTTTTTTAATATTAGATCAACCTCTGGGAAAGATAGGTGGGGAAATAAATTTCTTAGTTTTCCTCTTTCCTTCCCCTTTCCTGCACGCTGTAAACAGATCTTTAATTCTTGCATTGTTAAACCGAACTATGACATCTCTTGATAACTGGGGCATATTTTGTGGTCTTGGTAACATGTATTCTTTCATTTGGATATGATCCCAGTAATTTTCGGTCAAAATAAATCTTTAGAAAATCCATCACATATGTATCCAAATTTTCAGTTGTTTCTGAGATATCTCTAATTTTGAGATTTTGTCTTCTTGACCTATCCTCAATATCTGTAACTTTCATTTGAAGTATAGCAATATTTTGTTTTAGATAATCATTCTGAAGTTGTAAATCTGTATTTATTTGCATTAGTTGCGTAATTTCATGAAGTATTATTGATCGAATCTGGGAGATTTCCTCCTTCATTTCTGCTTGATTTTTTCCCAGATCTATTTTAATTCTACTGTATAGATTATCTAATGCCTGATTTAAATTGATATGTTATTGCATTTGAAGAATCTAAGACACTTCAATCTAAGGTATGAGCTAACGATGGTCCAGGAGAAAAGCACAGAGTACTTACTTGTGATTTGGGAGAAGAGAACAAACTAATAGGTTGAGCCTTCGGTTTATCAGCTCTATCCTGTTTTTTTGTCTTCTCCATCTTATCAGTTTTAGGCGCCATTTCTTTTTTAGGCGGTAAAACAAAAAGTAGACCTCTGCACACACAGAAAAAAAAGGAAACAAACCAGGAACAAGTTGTTTGTTTGTATATTTTGTTTCCTTTTCTTTTGTAAAGATTCTCATTCTTCATTCACAGGTTTCTATTAACCTTTTATTTGCATGTAGAGAAACTCCCAGTAATTTTGGCAATTTTGAAAATAACTTAATCACCCACTTCAGAAACTTAATCAAAAAAATGAAAAGGTAAAGCTTCTTGATGACACTTTATCATGTTCACTGATTATGTATAATCTAAAAAAAAAAAAGGAGCTTAAAATTATTATTATTTTTTTCATAGGGAATCATCTTTAGTACTCCCAATGCTCCCAGTCATCCAGGTATTCATCATATATATCAGCAGTTCATATGGAGTTCTTATGCAGCTTACCATGTGGAAAATAGTGGATTTTGGTATGTGGAAATGGTATAGAAAATTTAAATCTCTATAATGAGGGTGTCTGCAGGAAAGATATATATTTTTTTCTTCATAGGGAATCAGCTAAAGTACTCCCAGTAATCCAGACCATGTAGATAATGGTGGATTATAATGAATAATGGTATAGAAAATGAAAATCTCTATTATGAGGGTGTCTGCAAACCTCTCAGATTTCAAACCTCTCCAAAACTCCAAAGGGCACTCCGTTTAAACATAGCTCTGACCAAGGAGCCAGGTCTGTTGAGAGCCAGTGCTTGCCGACCTCCTGGACCTCTCAGACCTCCCAGAATCTCCAGTTACTGGGATTACTAATCGGTTCTTCCCTAAATGTTATTTCTGAAGGAAAGGAAATATAAAGTTTGTTCTCCGGGATTCCATTTGTTCCTTATTAAGAACTTTCATTTGCCAAGTGACAGTTATGTAATTCCGTTATTACCGATGTCAAAAGGAAATAACACTTGTTACAGAATCACGTTCTATTCATTTGAAAATTATTGTGCTCCTTTTATACTGAATCTGGTTCTATTTATTTGTCACTTCTAAAAGGATCATTCACCTTCTATGCTACAGAAATGACCTGCTCTATCATTGCCTTATTTGGAAGCCTATGGACTATATTGCCAAGTAAGCTTTTCCTCATTTATGTAAGTTTCATGCTATTTAAATGCTTCATGCATTATTATTTTACAACTTTATTGCTGCAGAAGGCTGCCAAAGTGAAATTACTTTATTTAAATAAATTCTATTTTCTTAAAGTGATAGTATCAAACCTCCTTTATTAATCTCCGAGAGCATTACACCCTAAATCTGTACTAGTTCCTTACAGAGAGTCACACCTCTAGTCCATTTATGAGTACGATAGTAGCATGTTAATTGGTTTTAATCAGGTTAACCTCCTGGAGTATTTTGATGGTCAGCAGACTCAGGAGTATGTAAATGTGATTCATTTATAACCATATATATGTACACATTCTCTAGTTAGATTGTAAGCTTGTATGAGCAGGGTCCTCATCTATTTATTGTTCCTGTATCATTTCGTAATTCTTATTTATTGTTAAATTTCCCACTTTCGTAACTTTGTAAAGCGCTGATATACGTTCTTGTTATAATATATAATAATAATATCCATATCCATGTACACTGATCAGCTACTACATTAAAACCACTGACAGTTGAAGTTAATAACATTGATTATATTGTTACAATGTCAACCTGTTAAGGGGTGGGATATATTACGCAGCAAATTAACAATCAGTTCTTAAATTTCATGTGTTGGAAGCAGGAGAAATGCGCAAGCGAAAAGACCTGAATGACTCTGACAAGAACCAAATAGTGATGGCTAGACAACTGGAGGCCCCACCTTGCAGGAATTAAAGGATCTGCTGCTAATGTGTTGGTGCCAGATACCACAAACACGTTCAGAGGTCTTGTGAAGTCCATGCCTCGACACATTAGAGCTTTTTTGGGAGCACAAAGGGGACCTACAAAATATTATGTTTTTTTTTTTAAATGTGGTGGCTGATCAGTGTATGTTCATTCATTACCCCATATATACAAAATAACTCTGAATTCTCTCACTTTCGCCTTAAAAACACAAAATTCCAGACTGCATTTATTGTTATCATGCAATGCCTTTGTCTTATGTTTTATGGCCATTTTTGTATTCATACTCATTATACGAAATCTTTCTATGGATTTGTGATATTTTAAATAGCCTAATAAATGTAGACTCTTGTGTTTCTGAGATAATTATATATAATTCCACTATATTGTTATACCTGTCCTGACTTTAAACCTTATTTTAAATAAAAACTATTAACAATAACGTAAACATACTGGGCCGGATACTCATAGCAGAAGAAGTCTATAGAAATATTGCTATTCTGTAAGTAGAGTATAAGCTCTTCCTCTGCTCAGATAGTCCCACTAATGCATCTTCAGCATATATTGAAAATGTGTACAGTGAACACACCCTGCTTATATTTCTATTCTTTCTCAGATACAGCTACAGATGTCCAGTGTTTGAAAAGGAAAAATAAACTTACATTTTATTCCAATATAGCTTTATTTTTTAAATGTAATAGAAATTATACATTATAATGCGAAAAATAAAAGGTTCAACAGAAGGTGCTACGATGAGTACAGCAATAACCTGTTCTGCTGACTTATATAATCACATGAAATTCAGACACCATGCGGCCAAAGCATACTGAAAACAGAAGTGTCAAGGCACCTGTTATTTCCTGGACGCAAGGCAGACTGGGGTTCTGTGGGTAACATTCTGCACTTTATAAACTAAATATTTACACAAATTCAGTTTTTGGCAAGATGGTGCCAATGAGCTGTTAGCAGAAGGTATAATATTATAGAAGCAGTCGTTGCTGCAAGATTCACAATGTTGATAAGAATCCACAAGGCAAGGAGAATGAAGATCCGGTTCCAAAAAATAGAAATCAAGTCTGATACCAAGAGGAGGAAAGTCCTTAAACAAATCTCCTCCGATAACAGGTAATCCATAACAATGTACACGGAATAGATAGAAGCTAGTCTTTTAGCCAAGTCCGGGTCGTTACTAGAAAATCCAGTTGATGTATTAAGAGAAATATCCAATCCTTAGATTATTCCAGAGTTCATACATGAGTAATCTGCAATCACAGTACAGAACTGGTTGTACAAAAACAGAGACGCTGATAGGAAGCCAACAGTCGGAAACCAGTAGCTGAGACAAAAAGTCAGACTTGGAGAAACCTGTAACTTGTAATACGTCCATCTCAGGTGAATAATTCCAGATATGGGATTAGTATCGATGATCGACGCTGGGGTTCATACTTGAATTAACTAAAAGAGAGAAATAAAGAATAAACAAACCCTTGCATGTAATGCTAAATCTATAACATTGAAAGTGCAACGTAACTATGATGTCATGCATTTAAAAAGTCAGAGAGAACATGAAAAGGTTGAGGTCGACAGATGTAAGTAGAAAAAAATCATAAAACAAAGTAGCCATGTATACAAGAATAATAAATTAATAACAGGAGGTAAAAAAGATCTTAAATACCTCTGCTCTTTTATAAAAATATAACCTACATTCCTGACTTACATTACAGAGCCAGATGGGTGTCAGACAGGCTCTGTATTACCCAAGGATAAGGATAAGATAACGCTTCAGTAATAGCATAATATGGTACTATGCAGAGAGCTGAAGAACTCTGCTTTAATGGGTTACTCCAACCACCATGACCACTACAGTGATTTAAAGTGGTCATGGTGCCTGGAGTCTGTAAACGTAGAGTTGAAAAATGCTGCACATACATATGGGGTGTCATTAGCCAGCTGAGAACAAGAGAACTTGGCTTGCTAATATCAATTCTGTGTAAAATTGGAGTCTGATGCCAGAATGTACGCCATACTGTGGCCGGACAGCCAATAGCAGCATGTCCACCTTCCATGCCGCCTCAGTAGTCCACTCAGTCCATCCACCCGCCTCTCCCTCTCCATCTGGTGAGGGGGAGTAATGTCAGTATAGGTAAATTGGGCTAAGGGAAATGTTCGCCTCGGTGAAGGGGAAAAAGTCAAGTTTATGGATATTTTACTTTTAAAAAATGTTTGACGTTTGGGGCAGACGCTGACAACCACATAAAGGTTTACTCCAACCAACTCCAGATTTTGGTTGGAGGAAACCTTTTAATAAATAAAAATGTCACATTTATTTGTTATTGAAAATAAAAGCCCTTAAACGCTTAACCAAATAAAGTGAAAATAAAAATAAAATCTGACATAAAAATAAAATCTTACAGTCAGATTATAAAAATAATATATGACTACCTACCTACGTGCTGGCAGATACTGTCAGATGAACTTCTCTGATGCGTGGTCTGCAGGGTGTGATGCTTGATTCATCGATCTTCAACTAACTCCAATAGAGGCTCGTCCGTAGCAGTACTTGGGTGGCGTCTCACCAATTTTTGTTGCAAAAAAATTATAAAAACCCAAACTGTTGGCAGTGGAGAGGACTGCTGAGATTTTTTTTTTTTTTAATGTAAGTTGTTTATTTGCAATTTTCAACATTGTTAAAAGAAAAGGTGGTGAGGCAAGGGTAATTTGGGCAGATAGAATGGGGAAAAAAAAATTCCGGGGAAGTTTGACTGAAAATTTTTCATTAAAAAAAACAAATATTAATCAAGTCGTATGAGAAAAATGTGAGTTAGAAAAAAAGCTATGTTGTATCTCTGGAATTATAACAGTTTTCCAGCTTCTCCTCCTCCTAGTTGATGGGGTGAAGGTAAGGCACTTGCCATGATCCTCCCTAGCCAACATATCGCTCAATGGCTTCTCGGGTGGGGGGGCATTTGTCCTGGTGCTCCCTCCCGGATCCTCCACTGGTGACAGCTTGCAGGACTGGCTGCAGGTTCGCACGGCGCGACAGCTAACCCCACCTGAACCACCCGTGCACTCGCTATCCAGCAGGCAACAGGGAGAGCAAGCAAAAGCCCGCTTGAGCTTGGAAGATGCCAGCCGTGAGGCTGTGCTGGAGACTGCTATATGGTTACGTAGATGGCAAGAGGAGGTGGGAATGGCTGCTCATGCTGCTAATTGTAGGACAGAGAGAAGCTAGCCTAATAGTAGTGTTGGGAAAGTGGTAAATCCCAATGGTGGTGGGATTGTTGTGATACCTAATGCAGAATGATGTTTGGTGATGCCTAATGGTGATGAGAGATAGCAGGGTGATGCCTTATGGTGATGAGAGAGGGAAGGAGTGATGCCTTGTGATGATGTAAACACCACCATGAGGAACCACCCTCCTCCCTCTTCCAACACCAGTTGGCATCACCCTCTCCCATCACCTCTAGGCATCACCCTACCTCCTTCTCACTTCAGCACTAGGCATCACCACCATTAGCAATCACCCCTCTCCCACCACTATAGGGCATTACGCCTCCCACTACCCTCACTATAAGGAATTATATTCTCTCCCATCAGCATTAGCAACCACCCCTCTCCCACCACCATAGTGCATCATGCCTCCCACTACATTCACTATTTGGAATTATATTCTCTCCCACTCCCAGCACCAATAGGAATCACCCTATCCCCCTTTAAAACCCATAGTAAACCCTTTTCCATTCCTACCTACAGCATTCTCCCCGAGCCTCATTCTCTCTCCTCCGCTGGCAGATGGGAGATGGAGGGAGGAGATGCTGAGTTGTGGTAGCAATGGAAAGGAGTAATGGCTGCTGAATAGTGGTGAGAGAGGGATAGGGTGATACCTAATGTTGATGGGAGACAGGGGGGTGATGCTTGATGGCAATGGGAGAAAGAGGGGGTGACGACTAATGGTGATGGGAGAGAGGGTGGGATGATACCTAAAGTAGGGCCCTTGCCCATCATAACTAGGTATCATCCCCTCCCTCTAACACCACCATTAGGTGTAACCTCACACCCTCTCCTACCACCATTAGGAATAAACTTCTTTCCTCTCTCATCACCAGAAGGTACCAACCCCCTTCCTCTGCCATCATTATTGGCCATGAAGTCACTCTCCCATCATTACAAGGCATCACTCTCGTTCCCATCACCATTTGGCATCAACCCTACCTATTCCATCATAATTAAACATCACCCTCATACTCCATGCACCATTAAGCATCAAGTCCTCCCTCTCCCATCACTACTAGGCAGACTTCCCTCTCCCACTGCTAACATTAGGCTACATGAAACTCTTTCTTACTCCCATCACTGACGTATAGGAGAGGAGCCAGATAGTGAGTGGAGAGGAAGGGGTGATGGCTGATTAAAGAGAAACCATAGTCGGAAAAAGTCCCTCCTTTTACTGCATTAGATAGAACAAGGGTCTCAAACCACTAGCCCTTGGACCATTCGTTGCCCCCATGCAACTTCATGTGACCCATGGTGTAGGAAGGAAACTGACGGCAACTCAATTTCTAGACTGTCTGGTTAGACATCGGACACCTGGCGACTGACATTATAATAATTGAGCTGCTGGCTGCTAACCCACTGACCAGCATTGCAGAGTTATGCCCTGAGATCTGTGTGTATGTGAGTGTCTGTGAGTGTTTGTCATTCGGAATATGTGAGTGTGTCCAGGAGTACGGATCTGCGTCTGTGTATATCCATGAGTGTTTGTATGTATGAGTTTATCTGTGAGTGTGCGTCTATATCGTATGGCATATGTGTATCTGGGTGTGCGTCCGTGTGTCAGTCAGTGTAGATCTTGTCGGTGAGTACAGACCTGCATGTGTGTCTGGAATATGGGTCTGGATGTATATATGTGTGTGTGTTTGTGTGTGTTTCTGGAAGTATGGATATATATGTGTCTGGGAGTGGAGTATGGATCTGTGAGTAGAGATCAGCGGCGCCCATATGAGATGTCATTGCAACACACCCTCAAGTAAATTTGAGTTGAAACCCCTGATATAGATAATGCAGTAAAAGGAAATAATACGATTGAAATTACCCACATTTTTAATGCATTTAAATACACTCCAAAATAAATAATTATAAGAATACATTTTAATAAAAACAATACTTACCATGAGCAATAAATAATTATAATAATTATTATAATAATATTAAATAAATACATTTCAATAAAACCAATATTTACCACGAACGATCACGGCAGAAGCGCGGTTTAGTGGGACTTATTGCAGTTACAGGCTGGCCCCTATTTGAGCAGGAAGAGGCTCCAATCAGGAGCATCTCATTTTAGACTATACCCAGTCTGGGTTTATGGGATAAGAATATTATCAGTTCCAAACATCACATATGATGACAAGAACTGCTCTGTATACGGATAGCGGACATACCCCCATTGCTATCAGTTTATGCACAGTCCAGTTCACTGTTTAATGAATTGAGATGTGTGCACATCTTGGCAGATGAGAGAGATCCCAGTTCAAGCTGTGTGTGCCGTATGGACGTCGCAGACACAAGTTGGACAAATCTGATCTTCCTTACCAGGATGTCAATCAAACAGCCGGTGGAAGGTGGAGCTTCAT